GAGAGAGAGAGAGAGAGAGAAGAAGAAGAAGAAGACGAGGAAGAGGAGGAGGAGGAGGAGGAGGAGGAAAAAGAAATTACTTTTTCAAAGTTTCAAGGGGAAAAGTTGGAACCTAAATTCTATATCCAGCCAAACCAATCAAGCATGAATACACTTCTGTATATTCCGTATTTCAAAACAGTTTTCACTCACACACTACTTATGAGAAAATGAGCAAGGTAATACAGATTACTGAAAAAGGAACCTGAGAAAGAGGTAACCTGAGATAGAAGAAACATGATTCTGAGTCAGGAAATCATAAAGGAGGCTACAAAGACAGTCAAAGCATTTACTCCACAGCGATGCACAGAAGATTCTCTTCCAGGTGGCAGTCTTAGTAACACAGAAGATTTTCTATGTGTCCAAATATATTACTTGGTTATAAATGATTAATATTTAACAATCATGCTGTTATCAATGTTCTTTCCTGGTTTTCAATTTTTAAGTCTCAATCTTACACAAAGTACTTCACTTGGATTATATTACAGGACAGAATATGAATGCAATATCACTTGACAGTGAAAAACAATTATGACATCAGAAGTGGAGGGGCAAGCGCAATGGAGTAAGTAACTAGGAGGATGCCTTCTTTCATTGCAAGGATAAGCTAATACTGTCTGAAGTTGAGCAAACATGAAGTAAATGCGTTAAACAGTTTATTCAAAGTAAAAAGGCTAATCAGAAAAAGCAATTTTTAAAAAGTAGTGTAAAAAGTAACGATATTACAAAGAAGCCAGATATACGGAACAGTATAGATGGTAGTCAAGATAAGGACTTTAAATGCCTACTCTTTCAGAGTGGGGAATCAATAGACTGGTATCAAGAAAAAAAAAGTTGAAATATATTAAAGTTAAAAATAGTATAATACTTCCCAGAAGAATGACAAATAGAAACTTGTAACAGTGGTTACCTCTGAGGAATTAAACTGGCAATGAGAAAGGAGGGTATTTTCTCACTTTTTAGCTTTTTGTGTTGGTTGATTTTATTTTTTAAACCAGGTCTTGGCATTACTTTTATAATTGTTGAAAGGGAAATCTGTAGGCAATACACTGCTGAGTAAAAAAAAAACCAAACAAGCTGAGGACATGCATATGCAATAGTCCTAACCGCTAACTGGGAGGCCCACACCCCTGGACGAGGGCCCGAAAGGAGAAAGAACTTCACTTTTTACCACACTTCCTTTTATAAAAACAAAACAACAAACATACTCTTGTTTGCACTGTCTTCTGACACTATCTATTGACAATGGACAGATGACATATGCCCAAAAGAGATCTCTCTTATGAAGCTAAACACTTAATAGTAGAAAGCTAATCCAAAAGGGATAATGAATGCTCCATTGCTGTGTTGTTGTTTTTTAATTTTTCAATCACCAAAATCTGGTAAAGGCAAAAAGATATCCTTCTATAGTTCACGTGCTTAGCATCTCTCTCATTTCAAGTTATTGATGAAATCACTGGTAAAATAGTTTTAAATGGACACAGAACTTAGATGCATTCTACTGAGGCCTCTCTACAATTCTCAAAAGTGCTACAAGGAAAGCCAATTGGTTAAAATACCTCCAATCCTAGGCGAATGGCAGCTTCCGTAAAGCTTCGTCTTTCTTTCTCGAAATTCTTTTTTTGCTCTTTAAATAGGGACCACTCTTCTTTGAGGCGCTCCTTTTCTTCCAACAAATAACAGTCTCGTAGCAGTGAAGTGGTATCGTCATCACATGCAGTAGCAAGCTGCTGCTATTAGATTTGAAAACAGTAAGTTCCTGAGGGCCCCTGGAACACTCCCCCAAGTTGAAACGAAACAAGGGAGGGCAAGTCAAACTTGAGCGGATGGACAGAAATTAGGAAGAATGAGAACCTCGACTGAGGTGTGCCATTCCCCAAATGCTTCTACTCTAACTGGCCAAGACCAACTAAGCAATAGAATGAAATCTACCTTTTAGGAAGCAGAGACCCTAGGTCAGACAAGTGTCAAATATTACAGATCTTATGAAATAAAGGAACTTAATCTCGTAAGATTCAGTAACATTCTGGTCCTTCTCAAGGAAGAATAGTTTTAAAAAGTAACTCACATTTACCTGTAAAAGCTGTTGTTGAGTTTTAATCATTTCTTTACACTGCTGAATTTCTAACTCAAGTTTTTCGGTTTCTTCCTCATGGTCTTGTCGTGAAATTACATCTTCATCGTTAAAACCTTCTAAGTGGACCTTTGAAACTAACATAATAGTAGTAATTTGACATTAGTTTAACAGTCACCACTTAGCTTACGGTGTCTTTTGGACATACACTTAAAAATCAAGCTCTCGGAACTTTTCTCTTTCAGGAATCCCATAGGCTTTCTGAAGGATTACTATTTTCCTGTGCTCTTTAAAAATTCATAAGCTACTATATATTAAAATTAAATTTATATTATTTTAACACTTGAAAAACTTAAAAAGCAAAGCAACTATAAGGAGTTCATGACAACTATAAATGGGCACCCCTTTGGACTAAAGGATATCCACACAAATAGACCTTCATTGCCAACATTTACTTTGTAATCCATGTTTATTCAAGATTATGTCCTAATTAAAAAGGGACAACCTATATTCACAGGAGGGAAAAATAACCCGCCTGCATAAACTACGTTCTTTTAACACTTCTTCCAAGGCCAACGCGGGAAGCCCAAACATACTTCCTATTTACTAACAGACAATGAAGACTCACCCAAGTCAATACAATCTAGTCAACTAATTTTGGTACTTACATAAGTTTGTTGATTGCTCTTTATTTAAAAAATGTATCTTTATTGTTGAGAGAATTACAGATGGCCCCCTTTTACCCGCATTGATCCCCTCAACACCACCTGCTGATTGCTCTTTATTACTGAAGACAAATGGCACCGAGTTTGTTATTTTTGACAATTTAGAATAATTTTTTAATTAAACCACTTACCGAGCAGACAGTTAATTTTCTTGATTTAAAAGCATGTAAACTTTAATAAATATAAAATATTAAAAACATTAATCAATGTAAATCTATCTATACTATATGTATTGATAGGAAAAGATGTTTAAAATATTCAATTTTTGTTTTTTTTTGTGTGTATTTTTAAATAAATATTTTGCAAATGCAGAGATAAAAGTCTAAAAAGATTTGCACCAAACTATTAAGTGTTACATATAGGGAACAGAGACCTGGATATTCTACTTTACAGACTCCCTGACACAAATACATTGAACATCATTTATTTTGAAAATAATTTAAAAGTGGATTATTAGGATCTTAGATGCATATATCTAGAATAAGCAAAAGGTTCATATTTATACTGTGTGATGGTTACTACTTCTTGATTTCCAAGATTAGTAAGAGACTGATCACTGTATCCAAGTGAATTTAGAGCACATGATTCATGATGTCCGCTTTCCAGAGAAAGATGCACTCTGGGCGCCAAGTACATTTTCTCAGTGAGATTCTACCTCACGACTAGAAGTAGGCAGTCTTGCTTTTTAAACCACTAAATTGGCTTTTATATGAAGGAAAATTAAGTTTACTGAGTGTCACTACTCACTTTGCATGCATTTAGGCAGTAGTTACCTTGGTTATCAAGTTTTTCTACGTGACTTTTCAAAATTCTCCACTGTTTCCTGATGCTGTTTGTAAGCTGCTCTCTCACAGTTTCACAGGAAAGGTCCCATATACTCTCTCTACTCAGTTCCCCAGGATCTTCTTCAACATCAGAGATACCCTACAAGGCATAAAAAGACCAGTATCTTAAAATGGCTTTAGGCACATAGGCAGTAGTAATCAGACTGTCTGATTACTACTTATCAAAATCCTTTCTGTACTGTATCTTAAGCATATATGACCCAGTACTTAACGTAAGTATTTTGAGAAAAAGCGATTAATATTAAAGATAGAAATTCCCCAAATCAGGTCTCTTCAAACCTGAATTCGAGCTGGGTGAGGAAGTTACTATCTGTCTAATGTTTTAGATGCTTTCACATGTTAATTAATCTTCCAAATTCAGGCTTAGAGAAAGAGTAACTTGCCCAATGTCACACAGCCAAGAAGTAGAAGTGAGGTAAAGTTAGATCAACTGGTCTCCAATCTTACGCTGCTTAAACAAATCTGTGAAATAATTTCCAAAGTAAAAGCATCTGTTCTATGTTTCTCATATAATTTTAAAAAATAAAATTGGAGGTTATTTTTCTTTGTGAATTCTACCAAGACACTAAATCATAGGAAAGTGTAACAAACTTTATTATTGCATATGATCAAATAGAATCAAAGCAGAATAAAGAACATACAGAAACGATATTAAAATGAGTATGTCATAATAATCTGAATCTACATAGAACGGTCCTAACTGAGTGAGAAGAACTGCATCAATAGTCTGAGGTCAGTGATGGGCTGCAGAGGTCAAGGTCTCCCAGGGAACCAGTGGGAAAATGCCCAGAGTGTAGCTCACTGTGACTCTGGTTATTGCCAATCTTCCAAAGCTATTTGCCAGTAACTTTTCCAAGGAGCTAAACCTTCTCTTCTATATATTTAAAAAATACTGCAAATCCATTATTTGAAAATAACAAATTGCTACACATTTCCAAGTTGAAATTCTAAAACCACAAAATGAAAATGAAAAATTCATTTAATGTGAATTTTTAGTATAAATTTTGGCTACAATTAGGTAAGCAAAATAAAAAATAAACGACACTTGGATGCTACCTAGATATTCCAACATTACAACTTATTCCTCTTGCTATAATGCTCCACCTGAAATACTTCAATTTTAACAGAAAAAAAGATGTAGAAAAACAGAAAATATACTTTTAAAAACAGAAAATATACTTTTAAAAACAAAAAATATACTTAAGAGATTGTTTCTCCAACCCTAAATATTTGCATTATGAATTATACAGATACTACCGCTGGCTAAATAATTGGGGGAAAGGGGAATTTAATTATGAGAAAGATCTTTATTTACCACTACTTTTGCTGAATAAAAGCTGGTAATGAGAGGTTAGTAAAAGTTGGGCCAAGAGCTAAGCAACCACAGAGTAATGGGAACTCTGCTAATCCTAGAGAGGTATTAGTGAATGTTAAGAACTGACCGGAAGAGAGGGACTTTGAGAGAAAAAGGTTAACTAAATATAAGGCATCAAGGAGGCCCCTAACTGTAGAGTTTAAAAGAACTTTCAGATAATGCTGTTTTTAAAGAAGAAATAAAAAGAAAGGTAAGAGGTGGGATGGGCATAGGCCGAATCTCTAATACAAGGAAACACCAGTTTTCCCCAATATCCAAAAGTAGAGTGCGCCTATGAAACCTTCCATAAACTGAAATGTCGTAAAGTGAATAAGCAAAGACTATTAATTTAAAAGGGAAAATTCTCTTTGGATTTCTTTTGGTTAGTGAAAACGTACTAATGCAGCTTTTTCGTAAAAGGGAAGTGGTGTAATGCAAACTTTAAAAACATGGGGGAGGCAGCTATGCTCACCACTATACCACCAATGCCTTAAAAACAGGGGAAATACAAAATTAAGTCCTGGTAACTTGCTGGTAATTAACATTTTACACCAACACTATTTGTTTCAAATTTTAGTCATGCATCTTGAATCTAGAATTTAAACTTCTATGTAAAGCAATAAATAGAGTTAAAAGAACTTCCACCATTATGACTTGCTTTTTCAGACCTTTGTACATATTATTCTCCTTTCATCAAATGCTTTCCCATGCTTTCTACCTCAAAAACACCGACTAATTTTTTAAGAGCCAACTCAAATGTCACTTGCTCTGTGATGTCTTCCTTAGTTGCCATCTCTGTTCTGTTTTACACACTACACTAACCTATTATAGCTCCACAATAACTATCCTATATAATAAAAGCCTAATATGCTAAGTGTCTGGTCATCCAGTCAGCCATTCAACCAATCAAAGGGTAATATGCTAATAAGGCCACTCAACCGCTCGCTATGGCGTGCACTGACCACCAGGGGATAGAAGCTCAACACAGGAGCTGCCTCCTGGTGGTCAGTGCGCTCCCATGGGGAGAGCGCCGCTCAGCCAGAAGCCAGGCTCACGGCTGGCAAGTGCAGCAGCAGTAGTGTGAGCCGTCAGTCAGACATTCCCAGAGGGCTCCCAGACGGCTAGAGGGCACAGGCCAGGCTGAGGGACCCCCGTCAAGTGCATGTCAAGTGCATGAATTTCGTGCACCGGGTCTCTAGTAGAATTATAACTGCTTTATATGTTTGTCTCTCTCAAAAAGTGCATCTTGCAGATGCAATGGACTGAATGTTGTGCTCCCTCAAAATTCATATGTTGAAATTTTAACCCCCAATGGGAAGGTATTAGGAGGTAGGGTCTTTGGGAGGTGATTAGGTCATGAGTAGAGCCCTCCCTTGTGAATGGGATGAGTGCCTCTATAAAAGGGAGCCATAAGCTCTCCGACTCTCTTTCCACCATGTACAAGTCAGCAATCTGCAGCAAAGAAAAGTGCTCTCGCCGGGCACCCAATCTGCTGGCACCGATTTGGATTTCCAGGCTCCAGAACTGCGAGAAATAAATTTCTGTTGTTTATAAACCAGTCTACAATACTTTGTTATAGCAGCCCAAACAAAGACTGGGGAAAAGTCAAAACCTTTTTAGAGACTTGCTTTGTCAGCGTGGCTCAGTGGTTGAGAGTTGACCTATGAACCAGGAGGTCACAGTTCAATCCTGGTCAGGGCACATGCCCAGGTTGCAGGCTCAAACCCCAGGGAAGTAGTAGGGGGAAAGTGGGAGGCAGCAGATCAATGATTCTCTCATCACTGATGTTTCCATCTCTCTCTCACCCTTTCCCTTCCTCTCTGAAATCAATAAAAATATATTTTTTAAAATATTTTTAGAATTTTCTTTCCAGGAACTAGAACATAATGTACACTCAATATATTTACGAAATGAATGATTATTTGGTTCCTAGCATTAACAAAGGTTTCACTCTCTGAAAAGCAGAGCCTGCTTAAGCACACCATACTCGAAATAAAATATTTAAAGAATATGGCACACTGGTTAAAAACATGAACTCTGGAGGAGGAAGGACTTGGATACAAATCCTGGTTCGGTCATGTGTGACACTGGGCTGACCACTGTGCCTCAGGTGTCTTCACCTACACAATGGGGATAATTATAGTATCAAAAGCATCCTATCTAATAAAAGAGAAACATGGTAATTAGCCATAACTTCGCTACCCTTCCCATTGGCTAATCAGGGCAATATGCAAATTAACTGCCAGCCAAGATGGCGGCCGGCAGCCAGGCAGCTGGAAGCGAACATGAGGCTTGCTTGCTTCAGTGACGGAGGACTCCAA